CTGACCCCCAGGAACAGAAGCAAATGAACTGAAACTCAGAGGGTTTGCAACAGTAGGAGTCACTTTCCTGACCTGCATCAGGGCTGCTTATCCCAGGCTATGCCTGGCTCTCCCCTGGCTCAACAGCCCCAGGCCCTCCTACTGTGGAGGGCACATGCCTGGGTATGTGAGTATTCTTGCAAAAATTCCACCTCCAAATCCTGCACCAAACGGCCCTCCCTCTTCCGGCCCCTGACAGATGATGGAGTGCTGCCTTCAGGCAGGAATGGCAGGGAAGGACAGGGAGCCGGCTTCCACTCGCTGCTTCCCTGCTGCCTTCAGCCTGGCCATCTGTTGTCTTTCCCCGGCCTGATGTGCCTAGCTCTACCTGATTCACAAAGACCACAGTGGTGGTACAGCATTTCCCTGGCACGTGTTCACGTCCCTGCGGCTCCACATCTGGCTAGGTGTGACGTCCTGGACAGGCACCATGTGTGTCTCTGGCAGCAAGCTGCACCACAAAGCCGGGAGGCACCTTGCTTTTGATGCCCCAGAAAACATTCCCACACACAGAAGTGGCAGAAGATACACTGGAGGAAATTCCCAAGAGTTTGAGAGTCGGGACAAGAGTGGAGGCTTACTTTTCCTCCTCAGGAATAATCAATTCTTGTATGCAACATCGCTTACATGTGACTGGATAGGAGCTGACAAACTACCTTTCTCATCAGAATACAATGTGTGAGACTGGAGGGCACTGGTACCCAGGTCAGGCCGGGCATCCTTTTTGGCTGGGCGCACCTGCCAGGGGACTGCTGCTAAAGGCGGGCTGGCTGGCTCTGGGGGCTCTGGCAGGCAGGCCGGGAAGAGGCCGAGGTGCAGGGAGGGCCAGGCTAGGCACACACTCAGCAACACATCAGTCCCATGGATTCGGGGAAAGCCAGGCGTGGCTGGCACAGTTTGTGGGGGAGGGGGCAGCCCACTGCTCAGGGACTCACTATTGGTGCAGGAACAACCTTGCCCAACGTTCCCATGCCTAACGTGGCTGATTTTCTAGTCCAAGTCCATTTAGCTTTACAGTCCTGCTTCCCACCCTCAATCACAAGGTTCAGCAGCAGGACACACAACTGGAGGCGGCAGGTTGCACAGTGGCAACGCTTGGGGCTGTGTCTGCTTGGATCCGTGGTTGGGAGGACAAGAGCTGGGCAGAGCAGCGTTCCTGGCAGAGCTCAGTACCCTGAGCTCTCCTGATGGCTCCGGACCCAAGCTGTCCAGTCTGCCACACTGTGAGTCCATCACTTTGGAAGAGTCCCACTTACCGTGTTCCAAGGTATTTTCTCAGCATGCTCACGCTGCGTATTTCACATCCCTAATTGCTATGCACTCGGTATTTTAACCACATCACTGTTAGAATATGTTGCTAGTGGGAACTTCAGATCCTTAACACAAGTGGAAAACAGGATTGCTTTTCATAGGCAAAAGGTAGACACAAAAGTAAAAGTGGCCAGAACCAAAAGGTGGTGTTGGTTCCAGCTACAAGGTTAAAGCCCAGTCTCCTTTCGTCACAAAGGAACAGCAGCGAGTTTAGGGAGCAGTGGGTGACGTGGTACCTCAATGTGCTCAGGAAAATCCAGAGAGAAATGAGAGCTGCCCCCCACTCCAGGCCTCCTGGGCCCAGTAGTCACTCCAGGGCAGGTGCTGCTTGCCCTCACTGGAGCAAGGACTGTCTCAGGCTACATGGCGCTTAAGGAATAAAGAACTGGCTATCGGGAGGATTGCAGGTAGTCTGACTCATTCCGCTCCATGCGAGACTGTGATAAAACACTCCTCATCCTTGACAGGCCTTGTGAACCCTACTGCAATACAACTGCCAGCGTCACACTCTGCCAACACAGGGAGCTGGCACATGGTTTCTGATATGCCGCATACGCTGTGCATTTCAGTCTAAATCTCATCTCTGATGACAATGCCATCTCTGTGTCCATAAAGAGTAGGTCTTCCGGACTAAATGGAACAGTGCGAGAACATCTTCCTCAAGATTCCCCAGAGTAGAAAAGCACCCTGCTGTTCTCTCCTTGCTAAGGTGGCGGGAGGCCCGTGCCCTCTATGGCCTGCTCCGCCCATGCTTCTGACAGCTTGCAAGAACACTGTGCAGTCTGAGGCAGGGTGCTGTCCCTGGCCAAGGCCCTGGCTTGCCCCAATCTTCGTGGACACTAGGTTTCAGAATGTGGTTGCATTTAGTGAGACTGGAGACCCAAGTGGTTGAGTGAAGGTTGTGTGTGTGTGTGTGTGTGTGTAAACCCAGACTGGCTTTTCTTCCTCATTTATGTATGACCAAGAGCCCCCTTTGTGACCCCCCACTACCGCCTCAAGAGGATGTGAGCATCCTAGCTAGTTTTGAGTGTGGTAGAACCCAGGATAAGGAAATCGGGGTTGCAGTTCAGCTGGGTGAAGAAAGGTTGGGTTGATTGGGTGGTGGCGGCCGCAGGCATCTAAGGACTCGGGGGAGCACCCCGGCTTCCTGTGTTCTGACTGAGGTGCGTGGGGCTGGTGTGCTGGCAGTTTTAGATGCGAAGCCACCAGGGTGCCGAGAGGCAGGCCCAGGCAGGTGCTTGTCTCCCTGGATGTGTGTATCCGGGGGCTTTGTGGGAGCACATGCTGACCTCACACCTCAGCACCTGCCCAGTGCGGAAGGAAAGGGCCTTGGAACATCCTGCGGGGGCGAGGGCACAGGGCTGCCATTGCCCAGGGGGAGGCCGAGAGCAATGGTAGCAGAAGGGATAGGGGCTGCCAGGTGAGGAATGGTGCGGTGACAAGATGGCAGGGACGCACAGGCTTGAGTGAAGACCACAGACACAGCCAGGGACAGACAGGAGGTGGCGAGCAAACATACTCTGCGAAGGCGGGCCTCTGCGGAGAGCCGGGAGGCTGGCCGGGCATTCGCCATGGCCTCGACAAGCTGCTCGCTCGCTCGCCCGCCGTTCCAGAGTATATTTAGCTGGAGCACACGAATGTCACAGTCCCAAGTGACAAGGGCGCTGTCACTGGCCCTCGGGGGTCCCCAGGAAACCCTTGCATCCCGGAGATGCCGCGTAGGTGGACGTGACATCATCACGGCACTGGGGTCGGGCGCGGGAAGCCAAGGAGTCAGGGATTGGCTGGAGCCGGGGCTGGAGTGGGAGGACGACGACAACGTCATGAGTCAGGAAGGGATGGGGCTGTTCTGGGGGAGGGACGCCATCACCCAGGGACAGTACACAGTGCAGGGCCAGACAGAACAGACGCGTGGCGGAAAAACAAATCATGAAAACAAAAAACACATTCGAGCAGATGGAAATCAAAATCATAAAAGTCATGGGTAAGCTCTATCGTCATACAAAGGTTTTCGTCACAGCCACTCGTTGGCGTTGCCCTGTCAAGGTGTCGCCATCCTGGGGCCAACAGTGCATACCTCGACAGGGCAGGGCAAGGAGCTGGGGGCACAGGGACAGCGGTCATGTCGGACACTCGTGCGGTCACCTCTGCCACCATTGTCTGACGACATGTACCTGCTTCCAGCCCGCGGAAGGCCCCCTGAGGCCCAGGGCCGGTCAGCACCAGACTCTGAGGCCAGCTGTCACTGTGCTAATTGGACTCTTGAGGAAGCTCCATTCTCCCACAGGAGCTGGCAGTTGGGGGTGCGTCAGGCCACCCCGTGAGAGAGGCTGGGTTGCCATGGCTAACGGCCTCTGCCAAGGCTGGGGTTTGCCCCTGAACTGGAAGCATGCTGCGAGTAGCTTTGTCCTCCTTTTGGGAAACCTGTCCAGAGCGTCACAGCCTAGGGCTGGAGCCACACAGAACAAATACAGCAGCTGCTGGGGCCGCTGCTCCACCTGGCGCTTTCTGGGGAATCGTGGCCCCTCTGGAATGCGGCTTAATCCCAGAAGCGAACCCCGATTTGGAGCAGCAGGGTATAGACGAATGTCTACACAAGCTTAAGAGCTGGTCGGGGTAAGATGTAGCCAGCTCGGGCCTGGCAACAGGGGCAGCCAGCTGAATGTTCAGCAGCCTCAGGAGTCACGAAGCAAAAAAGGGAAGAAAAACGCAAGTCTATCCCTAAAACATTCTGGAGGAGTGTGGCTGGGAATGTGGCCACAGGAAGCACGGAGGGAGCTGGGGTGGGGGTGGGGCTGGGGCTGCTCCTCTCACTACCTTCCAGTCTCCAAACTTGAGCTCCTGCTTGGGTGAACTCTTGAGAACATATAGGAGTGAACAATCCTGAATGGGGCAAAACAGCACAGCAACATAACTGGGCTTTTCAGCCTGAGTTACAAGGCTGTTTTTCAGACAAGGAAGGCCTCTTTGGGTGGCAGCTGCAGCTAAAGTAGGGTGTGTTACCAGAAGCAGCAAGCGGCCAGGCCAAGAGATGACGTTTCCTGTCGGTGGGACAGCAAAGAAAGCAGAGGAGAATTCAGGACAGTTCACAGTGGAGCCCCTTTCACCAAGCGCGGCTTCCTGTCCGTCTCAGATGCATAGCAACTCCGCTCGATGAAATAGCATAGTTTTGTTTCAGCCGCGGTCCTCTCGGGGCAGTTACTGTAGGCCGGAGGATGCCATGCCATTCAGATTCAGGACCATGCAAGGGAGAGCTACTCCCTGCCAGGAAAAACTGTCCCGTGCCCTCTCACTTCCCTGCTTCCCCAACTGGCAGCTTTGGCTCCCACTTGATTTACTTGCAAGCCAGGCTGTGGGAGGCAAAGAAGGGACCAAAGTCACAGAGGTGGCCAGAGGAGTGGGTGGGACTCCGGGAGGCCACCTCCCACTGGGTGGAGCAGCTGTGTGACCACGCCTCTCGGGTGGGTAGCTCTGCAGGCATGCTTTGTTCTGTATGGTGCCTCCCAGAGGCTGGGGGTGCAGCCTGTTTTGTGCAGTTTGGGTGCCAGTGCAGCGCTAAGGGGGCCGGGCTTGGGCTGGAAGCAGTCACATTGTCCTCCCCGCTTTCCCCTCCCTCTCCCCGCAGAGGAAGAGGGATTCCAAGGCCTTACCCTTCTTGTCTTGGTGGTTATGGGAAGACATTGGCCCCAAAGGGTCTGTGCTGCCAGGTGGGTGGAGCAGCTCTGTCCAGTCGGGCAGCCCTGCCCGGGACTCATGGCCCCCTCGAGCCGCCGCGTCCGCCGTGGTGCTGCTGGGCAAGGCGGAGCCGGAGCGCCCTGTCCCAGCACAAACACAGTTAGGGGCTGTATCCTCACAGATACCAAGCTTTTAGTTCCCTCTTTGTCCCCTCTGCTCTGCGGCCACACGGGTGTGGCTCAAACGGGTCCTGCACACCGCCAGACTTAGGGGCTGGTGTGAGTGGGGCACCACGTATCCAGAAGGGACAGTGACCCGTCCCTCCGGGTCCTATTCATGCCAGGTTGTTCTTGAGGCCTCTCTAACTGACAAGAAGATGGAGCTTTGAGATGAGACAAAGTCTAGGCCAGGAGCCCCTGCAGGAACTGTGGACCTTTCCTGTGAACACACTGGTCAGCTCTCCCTGATGGAGCAGGTGCTGTTACGATGACTGAAAGAAGTCCTGCCACCTGTTCTGGGAGAAATAAAATGTGACCCCCCTGCTACTTCAGGTGAGATTTGGCTTAGTGGCCATTTTACCTAGGGCAACCTCTTGGGTAATTTTTGCAAAGACACCAGGGCATGAGCGTGCGTAAGCCTTACCCTCGTGCCCTTGGCAGGGAGAACGGAGGCTCCGACCACATGTTGTGGTCACTACAGCTGTGATACATGGAATGCTGGCCACTGAGATGGGATGGGGACCCGTGAACGTGTTAAACAATTCGTAGAATTGGATTCCCAGGAGGCTTCAATATCACCAATTACAGATAGCATGTGCAAAAACAAAAGCAAACAAAACCCGAAAACCAAGACATTGCTTTTTTATCTTTTGAAGATTTTGCAGAGAAGAGCAGCCAGGCAGTTCACCTGGGCCACAGTGATGTTCTGTGGAGCTGGCATTCTTAGCGCCAGCGCAGAGCTCGGGGACCACTCGAGAGGTGGCTTCCGCGTGGAGCTCACAGGCCACGGCATCTACCATGCACTTGGTTGGAAAGAGACTGCTTGCCATTCCGTGACCACAGACAGGCCGAGAGCACGTCCAGGGACGGCTGGGTTCAGATCCCGTGAAGCGGTGAGCCGGCAGGAAAGCCAGCCGAGTCACGGAAACGCAGCACTTCCTCCGCTTCCTTTCTGCCTACGTTGAGGGTTGACATTTAACCCATGTTTCCCACTTTGAAATTCAAGACTCTCTGAATAAAAATACATGGCCGGCCTAAGAGGGATTTCTGCCTCCAGCATGAAGCAAATGAAGAGAAAGCTGTGCGCGAGTTGGAAGGAAAGGAGAAAGGGCAGAGCAGGGGGGGGCCTCAGATGCCTTTCCTTCCAAATGCCAGGAAGCTCTTTGACCTAAATTGATAAGCATTTGGAGCACTTGGCATTTCCCTGTCTTCCAGGGGTTGATTTTATGGCCGTAAGGACGGTTTAGGGAGAACGTGGCGGCTTACTACGGTCATCCAGGGGAAATGCATGCCTGGGGACACACTTCTCTACAGAAGGATTTCCTGGCCCATATGCTGGGAACGCATGGAGAACTCATTGGTAATGGAGAGGAATGTGGGCCAGATGGTCGTTAGGTTGGAAAATGTCTGACACAAATGTGAGTCTCAGCCGCTCCCCTGGTCACTGCAGTGTTAGTCACCCCCACCACAGCCCCGCCCGTTAGCTGTAAATCTAGAGAAACCATGCATCTGATTTATTCAAAGGGGAAAAACTGTTGGTGCTGTGTAAGGTTCATAATCTTTTAAATCTGTGCTTGAGGACAGAGCACGTTGCCAACGGTGAGCTCCTGAGAGCAAGCCGCACCTGGGTCTCCACTTCAGAGATCTATGCAAAGCACCTTGGGGCGCTGGTCCTCCATGATGACGCCCTCCAAAAAAAAAAATGTTGCAAGGAGACCATCATTCTGTTTCAGTCTGATTTTAGAGGTTCATGAATGTGGTACTGAATGGCAGTAGATTTGGAACCTACATTCTGACCTATGGAACGTATGCTGTAATAATCTTGTCATGTAAATAGATTTAAAATGCTAACTTCAGTCCATCACACTGTTTCTCTACATCTACAAGCTACTGTGATTCTAGAGGTTAGAGACCCATCAAACTACTCTAACCTGTTAACAATGACTATGGCCAATTAGACAAACACACAGACACTAAGTCAGTACTCCAGAGGAAGCCAGCGGACTCACGGGGGCCCAATTCACTCAACAGGCTCTGGTGGATGTGATGGGTGGTGCACACAGCCCTTGCCAGGCAGCAAGGCTTCACACTCCATTCCTGAGTGGGTCGCCTGGTGGGTCTGCCCTTGGCCAGCGCGAAGGACATGCGCAGTCTTGGTGCCCTGGAGTTAGGGATTGCCTGCCTTGTCTGTGTTCACGCTTTCAAACCAGCCTCCTGGTCTTGCACCTGTTCTCACACAGCTGGTGCCCACTCCACTTCCTGCCATGGTGGTCAGTCTCAGTGAGGCTTTGCTGAATGAAAGGTTTGCTTCTCAGTCTGTTAACTCAGAAATAAGTGACTCTCACAGTAGGTTTGTGTGTGGGAGGGAGGGCGAATCTCCTGCAGTCTTCTAAGTAGTGTCTGGGCCAGCCTTCATTTTGATGGTTAATTAATCATTTAGCCACTCAATATTGAACAGATTTGGTCTGAAATGGACAGGATCAATCACTAGAAAGAAAATCTTCAAGCCTTTTTTTTTAGTTTCCTCAAAGAAACCACTGACTGAGAGCTGAGGACAAATGGGCACTGACCTTGAGAGTATTACCTTGGGAGAATTAATAAGCACGTTTCCTTCTGTAAAGGAACTAGGAGAGACCCACAGCTCGGAGAGCCAGCTCGGTTCATAAAACGCAGCCCGTGGTTTAATTACTCTGTCTGTTAGAGAAACGGCCTGGCCGCCTGGGGAGCTGCCGGCTCAGAGACTCAACACCTGGACCTCTTAGTCTGATAAAGACGATGCAACGACGGGAGAGGATGGCAAAGTGTGATACGAGAAAGAGCAGGTGCAGCGTGCCTTCACCAGCCCAAGGGCGGGCCGCGCACCTGCCGCTTCAGCAGTCCCTTCTCTGGCCCTGCTGTTGAGCATTCTGGCTCAGACCACTGCAGAGCGGTGCTGACGGGCACAGCCCTGCAAGCTCCCCTGCCCGACAGGTGCAGAGGAGAGAAAGCCCTGGTCTGCCTCCCTCACCGGCCAGCTCCGCAACAGAGGTCATTAAGACTTTCAAAGAGGTTTTAGTTTCATTTATGCTAATTCATGCAGGGACTGCGCTTTTGCGTGGAGGTATTTCTTGAACACATTCGGAATCCTTTAGAAGGATCTCCTCGGCTCCTGAGTGTGCGAAAGAGAAAATTTTCCTTTCTTTCTTTTATTTTACCCTCTCCTGTATTTGGTTATATGAGAGGGGTCTTCAAAAAGTTCATGGAAATGCGTATTTTGAAAAAATATGCATAGACTGCAGTCTTTTGCACCTGCCAAAGCTTGCCTTTGTAATCATCCTGAAGCTGGGCTTTGCCATTGGACAGCTGTGCTCCATGTGGCATTTAAGAAAACATGCAAGGTCTGCGTGGGTCAGTACTTGGGCACGGAGTTGGAGGGGGACGTGGAGAAACGTCACGGGACTGGCTGCACTGTGCTGTGGCTCTGTGAAGGTTAGAAGGTTCTGCTGTCGGCCTGGAGGGGGCTGCTCCAGCACAGCGCCTGTGTGTTTCAAACTCACAACGATGGAGGTTGATGCTGTTGCACATCAACTCATTCCCATGTCTGTCCTGAAGAAACCCCCGAGAACTTGGCTGCGGATTCCTACACTTTGCCTAAATTTCAGGGACCCCATTCAGACAAAACTGGCAAGATCTGCCTCGTAAGAACTCGCCTCCTCCCCGTGGAGGGCAAGGTGCTGGCAACCAGGTGTGCCCACATCTTCTCTCTCAAGACCCCATCGTGTTCTTTCTTCAATTTCTCCTGTGGCTGGCAGTTTCATGTTATGTGAGTTCAGAATCCAGGCTCAGTTTCCCGTGTCAGCTATAACCACTGTACACTCGACAGAGGATGTTAGTGAATTGGGGCCCTCATGAGACCATGAACCTTTTCTGGGAAGTTTAGTAATGCGAGGTCTACACTATCACAGCGTGAGTGACTTGAGTAGTTAAAAATCAAAACCAGTAAACTGACCATACACTGTGTTGTAAGACATATCATGATCTGGTAGAGGAGTTGACATGTCTATAAGAAAAAACCAATGAGGATCACAAATTAATGGAGAGAAATTTACGATCTGCAAATCCTCTAAGAGGGTTAGTGAAACAGGCTGTCCCCGAAGGAACATTGCGAGAGCAACATCGTCCTTACCGTTCAGAGCCACGAAGGAATCTGAAAGACAGAAGGGGAGAGGTGTCTGAGCACACGCCCCCACATGGATGCCACTCACATCCTCAGAGAGCACGGCCAGCCCAGGCTTACTTCACACTGCCCCGCTCTTCCACTTCGTGAGTGGACTCCAATTCACTGGCAAGGGACAGACAGGCAGCAGAGACGGGGGTAACACGTGATTCTGGGGAATGCAGCCAGGGTAGGGTGGATGGGACAGTGGGCAAAGCACTTTTGTTTACTTCTCTCTTCCTCTGTCCTCAAAACCACATGGGGAGGTCATAGTGCTCTGAACTCAACAGGATTTTACTTTAGAAATTAAATAGCATACAGCCCACTCTGACCTGAGCCATCTCTGGTAGGGCCTTAGCAGGAATGGGGTTCAAAGTTGGGGATCTGCTAGAAAAAGCCCAGGCAGGCCTGGGGCCCGCTGAGGGTGTCCCCTAGGCCAGATGTGCCATAGGTGCTCGCTGTGGTAGTGGAGACCTTACGTGTCTCCTGAGTCCACCCAAGTTTCTGTCTGTGGTTTTCTTACCAACACCCCTTCCCCCGCTCAGAAACATTCAGTGAAGACAGTTCTGCAAAGCCAGCTGACTAGGCAACCATGAACACACACACGCACACACACACACATGCACACACACACGTGCATGCACACACACACACACACACACCCTGAAACCTATTTCAAAGGCATCAAGATGATCCAGGCCATGGACGAGACCTCTTTTCTCTTTCACAAATAAGACGAGTGCACATATATCCCATCTTCTATGCCGACGCTGTCTCCTGTGCTCATGTATATTGTATGCAAAGACATAATGAAAATGCCTCTCTTTTTTTCCAAAATACATTTGCAAGCAAAAGCTGCACATGGGCAAGCATTGGAAGGTGACTCTGCTGGCAGCCATTGTTGCTTGTCTATGTGATCATCACCAAGGCCAAGTCCACATCCAGGCTTTGCATTAGGGTGGTCCCATTCTGAAGCAGGATTAACATTCAGTGTGTGTGTGTGACATTTAGAACCACAGGCCACACTTACCTAGACAGAGTGTGGCATTTCCTTCAAATTAGCACAACTAAAACGTTTTTCAAGGGAGTATGGATGTGTGTGAGGACACAGGACAAGTGGGCCAATCTTGGACTATGATCTTTAATATCACACTCTAACAAAGTGTTGCCATGTGGTAACCCTTCAGATGAACTCTGAGAGTCCTATGGAAAGGCTACCTTGAATCATTTAGTGCCAGCGTAATAGTTCTGAGATTTCTTTCTAGCCCAAATGATAACACACATAAATCTAATTAAACACATAATTACCCCTGCTTGTTGATAAGTTCAAGAAGAATATAACCATCTCATTGAATTAAAAAAGCTAGAGTGCAGTAATCAATCTCTTTATTATTTGGCTGAAAATTACGGTGTAATAGAACATCTTAAAACACAACAAAACTGTCATTTTGGTAATGGAAATGCTGACGGCACTTACTGTTTGCTCTAATTAATATTCTCTAGAGCTAATCTCCACAGCTCTCCACAGCGAGCTGGGAGCCAGCTGGCAGTGCCAGCACTTGGAGGACCGGCTCGCCCCTCTCTCTCTATCACTCACACACACACACACACACACACACACACACACACACACACACACGGCCCTGGCTTGCTCTGTCTCACAGCACTGGCTCTTTCACAGACACACACATGTGCGCACTCTGCTGGCTTTGCTCTTAGTTGATGATTTCGATTCTGAATGCACATTAAAGCATCAGCTGCTCTCGGTCCCACATGTAGGATTATGTTTGAGGGACACTTGACAAAAACATCTCAACCCCAAGACAAAGTTGAATTGGAAAAATAAGAAGGAAATGAATAAAGTGCCCTTACTGTGACAGTCTCCCAGGCCGTCCGTGTTGCCACGCTCTATGTCCTGCTCGAATGCCAACCTTTGAAGAGGGTGGGGAGAGACATGTGGTCACGTGAGGCTCCAGTGTGACTGCAGTCATACAACTTGATACGTTGGGTGGCAGGTGCCAAGGAGAAATAGGTAGCAGTGTGGAACTGTGGCTGAGTCTGAGGTGCTCCTTCAAGGATACCTAAGCAGTTCGCCCAGGAGTTTCAGGGTCACCTGTGGCTACACACAGCCTGTGACACCAAGGATGCTATAGACACTGGCATGGTGTCTACACAAAAGCCTGAGTCCAGTCTCCTTTTGATTTCTTTCACTCCTGAACTTTATGGATTTCCTTGCTTAGCTGAGCCTGGTGTACATGCAGAAGTTCTTGGAGACAGATGGCCACTGGACATGTGGGCTTGTGAGGCGACAGGATGGCCACTGGACATGTGGGCTTGTGAGGCGACAGGATGGCCACTGGACATGTGGGCTTGTGAGGCGACAGGATGGCCACTGGACATGTGGGCTTGTGAGGCGACAGGCCCTAGGGACAGTGTTTTGCTATCACCGCCCAGGGATACTCCTCCTCTAGTTCTCCCATGCGCTGGCTGTGTCTGCGGGCCCACCTGCCCAGGCCTGCCTCCTGGACACAGGTGCAGTGCCGTAGCACAAACGTGCTAATGACACTGGTGCTGAGCTTTCGAACAGGGGAGCTGTCTTTGGGGGATTTGGCATCTGTTGCTGTGATGATGGGCATTTCTTTCTGCAGCTGCTTCACCAAAGTCTGCTGGCGATGCCTTGAGTGAAAGTTCCCCCAGGCGTGGCTCAAAGTCACATCCACACCCAGTGGTGTGATTTTGGTGTTCACTGCCTGAGCTCGTTGCCCGTGCTCTGACCCGCTGCTGCAAAGCGGGCACACCTTGCATGACTGACTTGTGTGAAGCCAAATTGGCCCCAAATTGGCCCCAAATTGGCACCTGGCTGCTCCTTCCCGTGGTGGTTCTTATACAAGGAGTGGAAGGCAGGCTGCTTCTGCTCCTCTCCTCCAAGAAATGCTTTGAAGCCCACCCAGCCCCCTTTCTCTGTGCCTGAGCCAGCCCAAGGCTGATACACTGACGGAAAGTCTGCCGTGCGCAGAGCTGGGGTTGCCTTGCCCATGCTGTGAGGAGGAGCCTGTGTGTGTGTGTCATGTAGTGCCTGCAGTGGCCACTGTCCCCTGCCCGCACGTGCTCCTTACCTGCTGCTGGGTGACAGATGGGCACAGGAGTTGCCTTCCTTCACCCACCCACAGTAGGGGTCTCTAGAGGCGATGCACGTTCTGTGGGAACAGGGGCCATGAGATCCTTCACCATGCTCGGTAGCCACCGTGGACGTTCCCGGCCTCCCGCCCTGCAGGGTTACAGCACCTACTTCTTGCACTTGCCATGCCGTTCGCATCGGCCCAGGGGGACCTTGACCACGCAGGTGGAGAACGCCACATACAGAGAGCTGCTCGCGCGGTCCAGCTGCATGCCCATGATCCGCCGGTCCTCCACACCATCGTAGCTGCACCTGGGTGCGAGGCAGGCCCACCGTGAACCGGCCCTCCGTAGTCAGCCCCCCTGGACTCTGCCCCACCCACACCCTCATGTCCAAGCCCACAAGGGAGTCCCCTATGACATGAGAGCACCCACGTATGTGCGTGTGTACAGGAACACACACAGCTGCTGGCAAGGAGTAGGCAGCGCCTGCTGTGTGTTTAAAGGCTTTTACGAGGGTATAGTGGGTGTGGTGGGTTAAACTGCCACCTGCAAGGTCAGCATCCCATGCGGCTGCTCCATTTCTGAGGCAGGTCCCTGCTAATGGCCTGGGAAAGCAGCAGGAGTTCATGGCCCAAGTCCTAGGGCCCCTGCACCCATGTGGTTGGCCTGGAAGAAGCTCTGTGTTCCTGGCCTTGGCCCGCCCACTGCTGCCACCCAGAGAGTTAGCCAATAGATAGAGCATCTCTCTAACTATTTCAAATAAACAAATCTAAAATTAAAAAAAAAAAACAGCCTTTACAAACAGCACAAAACGTGACCTAAAAATGCACAGAAGCGGTCTGCCATGCTTTGCAGGGAAGGCTCCCCAGCAGCGCGACAAGTCGTGAGCCAAAAGGAGGCGGCCTGGCACTCACTTCTCAGAATTGTAGACACTCATCTCCTCCAGGAAGACGCTGTCATTGAGGAAGCCATTGCTGCCCAGCCTGGCCAAGAACTTCAAGATGATCCCCTTCTCCGACCCCAGGAACACCACAGTGTGGTTCTGGTAGGGCCCCGCTGCGGTGTCCACGGCGATTTTTGTCAGGCGGTATCTGCAGCGACAGGATTCTGGTGATGTCATTACAGTGCCCCACCTGGCACCGTGTCCAACAGCATGACAGCCAGCTAGCCAGCCCCCAAGGAGCGCACATGCAGCTCCCTAGTGTGTACACATTGCTGGGGTCCTAACTTCCTTACAGGGTGCACAAGTGGCAGCTCCAGAGGGGAGCAGAGGTCAGCGTGTACAGGCCACTCTCCAGAATAAATAGATACCTAAAATCATCTGAAATTGGTCAGCAGTTGTCCCACGTGCAAGCAGGGCCCAGCTAATGCCTCCTGCCCATCAGTAAGCAAGGCAGCAGCCCCCGGCCCTGGACCAGGGCTTCATCCTACCAATTGGATCACAGTTTCCAGGGCGGGAAGGACAGTGGGGAGCAGGAGTGGAGGACCTGTGGTGAGGCTGAAAACTCCGAGGTGGAGCCGGCCCCGTGGGCTTCTCTCAGCTCACTCACTGATGTCTGTGCTGAGCACACGGGCCGCCCTGTGGGTCACACCCTGTGCGTCCCATCAGGGAGGCGGAGGGAGCCTGCAGAGCACTTGAATATCTCTTGGGGAAAAGTCACGGCAGAAAAATGGTGATTGAGTACATCAGCACTGTGCCTGGTCCGGAGGGGGGAGACTAGAAGCCTCTCAGCAATTCAGGAATAAGCTCTGGGGGCTGGCACCGTGCCGCACTGGCTAATCCTCCACCTGCAAGAGCTGGCAACCCATGTGGGAGCCATTTCTTATCCTGGCTTCTCCATTTCATGTCCAGCTCCCTGCTTGTGGCCTGGGAAAGCAGCAGAGGGGCAAGGCCTGAGTCCTCGGGACCTGGCACCCACGTGGGACACATGGAGGGAGTTTCTAATTCTCCGCTCTGTAAATCTGCTTTTCTAATAAAAGTAAATCTTAAAAAAGGAAGTCTTCGAAGAAATGCAAGGCCTTGCATTCTCTAATCAGCCGACCCTCCTCCACTGGCCACCGCTTCTCAAGACAGGGGCTGATGGAAGGATACAGGAGGCCCCTCAGCACTGGCCTGCCCATGCCACGCACAGTGTCCACGCACCACAGGGCCGGGCAGCCTGTGGTGAATTTTGCAATCCTGTCTCAGCCAACACGGGTCCCTTGTCTCCCTCACTGCCTTTCCCTTGCACAGGCTGAGCTAACGTGCCAGAGGGACGGAAGTACTGCCCCTCTGCTGGCCAGGTGCAACTATCTTTACCACACTGGAACTCCTCTCACCAGCACTGTGGCCACGAGGCTCTGGTGGTTCGGCCCACAGGCTTCTTGTGGCACCCAAGGCGTGAGTCCCCCAGAGGCCCAGGAAGGCCCTGCTCGCCTGACACACACCTGACCATCGTCCTCAGGAACCACGGCCGGTTGATGATGGAGGGCACCGCTTCATCCATGAGTGGGTGTGTCTTGATGAAGTTCAAGGTGTCATCCGGGAACTCGCTGGACGTGCTGTATTTCTCTAGGGAGGATGAGCCTGCACAGCAGCCAGGCCTGAAACAAAAGTGGGCAGGGCATGGCACGGAGCGGGCAGATTGCCCATCCTGTGGCCAGTGACTCCAGTGCCCGGCTGTCGTGATGGCAAGGAGAGGCTGGGCCATGTGTGTGCCACCCAAGACAACACTGGGAGGTCCCTGTGGCCACTTCCTTCTGCCGGGGGCAGCCTGGCCTCCTCCCAGAGGCACAGACAAACCCAACGAGTAGGGCTGGATGGGGTTGGCAGGAAGTTTGCATGTTAATCACATGTTTATTTCTGCTTGATTGTGGCAGGTCTGGGAGGCCAGGTACCCTGAACCTGCTTTCCTGGAACCAGTGATGGTGAAATGCTTTGGCCTTGGGAGTCGAGAGACATCACAGGACAGCAGGTAAGGCCAACGTGTCCAGAGGGGAGACAGAGCTGGCCCTAAGTAGCCAGGCCTGGGAAACGTCCAGGATATACCTAGGTAAGGGCATGGGTGGTGGCTGGTCACAGGTAGCTCAGGTGCTGCAGGTGGAGGGCCATGGGAGCGTGCCCCTCAAGAAGGAAGGGCACGTCTTGTGATCTGATCCAGCTGATGGAAGGATTGCGGCATGTGTTCGTGTAGGGGACTGCGGGTGAGGGAGACCAAACGTTCAAGTGTTGGGCTACCTTGCAGAAGAGTGGCGGTGCACATGTGTGCTGGCATATAACCTGGAGGTGTGATGTGTGGGACAGCTACAGAGAACAGGCATGGGGCTGAGGGAAGTCCTGCTCCCAGCAGAGAGAACAACAGATGGGTTGTGGTATGTGGAGCCTGCCGGCCAGTGTACAGGGCCAGCAGAGCTCTAGGAGGCCTTCGGGCCATGGGTGTTTCAAAAAGCAACCTGGGGACAGGCTGATCCTTGATCTCTGTGGCCCCAGATGCTTTTAAGCAAAAGCCTACAAGAGTGGAGGATCAGAGGGTTCTGAAGGCTACTTGGTTTATAGCTAGCAGGATGGAGGCAAGTGCTGTGCTGCCTGTGCTGCCTGCGCTGTGCCGTTCAATCATGCTGGTGTTTGTGTCTGGAAGCCTTGTGGAGGTTGGGGACCGCCAGGGCCACAGGAGTGGGCAGCACCCTGTCTAGAAGCTTGCAGCAGCCCAACAAGCACGTGCGGGTACCTGGGCTTGGGAACTCGCTCATCGGGAACTGGCGTCCAGGTGGAGTCGGGGGACTTCTGCTCCTTGAATCGTCCAGTGAAAACATTGGCGATGTCCACCATGTCGTAGGCACAGACAGCAGAGCCGGGGATACTGTAACACAGTGACACATGCAGTGTTACTGAACGTGGCTCTGTAGGCACCCATCAAAGAGTTGGGCATGCCCCAACGTGGAATGCCACACATGGTGTTACCAAACACGGCTCTGCACACATTACCCTAGCATGATGAGCCCTAGTATATAAATAGTGTTTCCACAAACTGAACGGGCACCATGGCCCTGCAGAATGAGCTGTGGCCTGCTTGCTGAGGGAGACTGCCCATGGTACCTCTGCCTTGTAACTTGCGTCAGTTCAGGGAGGAAGTGCGACGGGGCTGCGGGTGGCACATTTACCCATGTTCTTAGAGATGAAGACCTGTGTAAGGGAACATGCCCAATACGGTGCCCTGCCATCCATAGATGCCACCGCAAGTCCAGCTCAGCACATGAGAAAGTGTGTGTGTGTATGTAGGATGCAGTTCCACACACTGTGCTCCCATCATTGCCCTGCCATTTCTTCTGTTGAGTATTTGCTTGAGATTCAGCAGTGTAATTTCTAAAATACCAGCTCTCTGCAGTGATCCCGGCACCCAGGATCCCTGCCTGGCACTCCGGGAAAGCTCAGCTGTGTTTCTCATTAGCAGTGGGAAGGCACGCGTTGCTTGTCCAGGAACACTGTGTACACTCGCACTCTGCTTTTGATGGGGTGACTCCTGGGTGCTGCTCAGATAAACTGCAGGCCCCAGCTGGCTTTCAGGCAGGGGCTGTGATGGGGCAGGGGCCTCCAGGACCGAGGGCACAGCATCCGGGGCAGGTGGGATTACCAGGCTTACGCTAGAAAATACTGTGCCAATATGGAAATCTGCTCACAAATTATTGGCAGCATTCCACACCGTCTTTAATTTCATAACGTGATCGTTTAAGTCTTACTGATAAAGCAGGAAATGGGAAGAGAATAGGAGAGCTTATCTCAAGCAAGGTGGCAACCTGGACTTCATAGGTATGCAACATGTATGTGTGTTTGTTTACCAAACCGTGTATGACTAAGGGCGTGATCCTTGCCCGTTTTGGAATTTCATAACATCAGCATTACTTAATTAAAAATAATTTTGTGTAATAATTTCTTAAGCATTTGAAAGGCCAAGACAGAGAGGGACAGAGAGAGGAAGACAGAGTGTGTATGTGTGTTTGTGAGAGAGAGCGAGAATCTTTTACCTGCTGGGTCACTCCCCAGCTGGCCGCCCTGGCTGGGGGCGGGGCACACGGGAGATGGGAGCTCAGTGTGGGTCAGTTATGTGGGAGACAGGAGTGCTGGAGATGGAGGCAGAGCCCGCATAGGGGCCAGGCCACTCTGGTAAGGGGCGATGGCCCCTTAAATGCCAGGGCAAATGCCCCGACTTCCCATTGCCAAAAGCAGCAGGTTCACCTTTTTACCTTATACACCAGGAAACAGAGGATGGACACTGCTTGCAGTATCTTGGACCGCCTGTAGTAACGGAAGGTCCCCTAAGGTTTCACACCTGTCTCCAGGTCACAGCCGCTTGTGAAACCCTCTCTTCATCCCCCTTTCCTTCCTTCCTCCTGTTCTGTTCAACACTGTGTTTGTAGAGCCTCCTACCTAACGCAGGACATGCTCCCTACACCCAAAAGCCCTCAGCCAGCTCGCAGTCCTGCAAGTGTGCCTACAACAGATAGAGGTGGCACCAGGTCCCACGGGATGGCTGGGCTCGGGCAGGCATGAACAGTCAGACCACTAGGCCTGGCGGACAGCTGGAGCATGGGAGGGGGCAGAGCCAGGCCAGGAGGGTCCCCACAGGGACCATGGTGTAGCGGCTGCCAGCTGTGCCACGGCCAACCATACTGAAAGAGACTCAGAAACTACCAGAGTCCCTTAGTGGAGAGACGTGTTAGGTTTATCAAAATCCCAGATTCCACCATGTAGGACTTCCTTAGATTTCCAGTGTGTGTGTGTGTTTGTATGTTTAAGCTTGAAAAAGGTAATCTGAGTTTGGCAGAGAGTTGCTGTGCTGGGCATGTACATATTAGCTATCATGCCCCCTGAAACCCTGATCATACAGGGTTTATGAGTCACGCTGGTCAGTGGTGAGTGGAACTGTGTCAGTTGTGAATGCCGAGGATGACAAGGGCACCCCCTGGGGAAAGGAAGCAGGAATCACGGCCGAGGTAGGCCCCTTGGGTGGGGCAGAGTCACCTGTTGTAAGGCGTGGAGAAGGTTGCCAGGACAACGTCACGGCCGTGGATGCGGATCACGTCGGTGACGGCCTGCAGGATGTTGAAGTAGAAGTGTGAGTCGCCGGGCACGGAGCAGTTGAGGCGGGCCTTGAGGAAGGAGGTCCACTGCTTCTCCAGCACCCGCTGCGAGCCGCCCATGTCGTTCTTGCACACCTGTGCCACTCTGGGGAACACCACCTGCAGAGGCAAGCACGGGGCGTGAGCCTGACCTCGTCACCTATTGCTCCCCAGGAACAGCAAAGCAGCGGGGTGCTCAGCCGGAGCGTCCTGCGTGGGGTGATAAGTTACCCTCGGGGGTGAACTCGCACCACTGGACCTCTGGCTGCACATCCTGCTCAGCAGGTGTTCACAGCCAGCACATGTAGGCTGCACATCTCACTTTGGGCCCTGCCTCGTCCCAGCTGAGTGGGTGTTGCTGTCTGTGTGGGCCAATCTGCCATTTCATCTGTGTCTGCCCGTGTAGTGACCTTGACCTACATTCTGCTAAGAATAACAAAACAAAAGCCTTGAACTGGACTCGATTGTTTTGCAATAAAGACCAAGACCGAGGCAAGGTTTGCTTATAGAGTCTTGATAACTACTCCCCACAATGCAGCTCAGTGATAACAAGAAGACAAAACAGGAGAATCCAACTCTGCAGCTTGCAGCTTGGTAAGAAGGTAGCCAGGACGCTGCCTGCTCGGCTTTCGGCAGAGAGCTGCGAGAGGCTGCCCATGGCTTCAGACTGTTCGAAGGAAGCAGGCAGGGTCCCTCCGAGCACGGCGGAGGACTTGCTTTGGCTGGCTGTTGCTGTACCCGCTTCAAACCACACCTCCCCAGCGGGCTGTGGCACTCACGCACGATCGTTGAGGACGACACCACACACACAGGCGTCCAGCAGTGTCCTCACCTTGCCCATGGTGTTGTACTCCACGGCCATCTCCCTGAAGAAGAAGTAGATGTAGTCGCCGTGGTCCACCGCTTGCACAAAGTAGGGCTCTGTGGGCGAACAGCGGAGGGGCACTCAGTGTGAGTGTGTGAGCGACACTGCCACATGGTACTCAAGGGATTCCCACCAGTTATAGGCCACAGCGGTGTTCCACCTTACACAGGCTTTGCACACTAGTGGTGGAGACTGTAGGGTGCAGGCCAGCAACCTGTAGTGCCATGGACCACCAAGACTTTTCCATGACCCCTCATTTGCACTTGCCACCACGCACTGCCCAAAACAGCAAAGATACACCCTGGCTCACATGGGCTTGGTGGCTTTTTCTTAGCCCTGCCACCTGTACCTCTTGTCCTTTCCTCCTGTCCTCCCATGTGGGACTCTGGGCTCACACTGTGAGGTCATGGGGTGGGAGGGAGGCACCCTGACTAGTCGAGGCCAAAGGTGCACCTGTCACCTGTCTATGGGCGCCATCACTATAACCAAGCCGCAGTGCGCCCCCCAAGGATGCACCCCTCCACCCCCATTCACCTTTTAGCCATTTGGAATCATGTTTGACGGTCCGCAGGGTGGGGCTGTCTCCCAGGCTCCGGTAGATGACTGCGTCGATGGCAAGGAAGTCCGTCACAGTGGCCGAGTACAGTTTCCCATCTTAGAGGAGAGAGAGGGTGATCAGGGTGGGGAGAGAGGGGCGTGAAGATGTCCACAGCCTGCTCTCCTGCTCAGGGACGGGGCGCAGGCCAGGGCCACGGGGGAGATCATCAGCCCATATTCCGACCACTTGACATGGGATTACAAGATGAATCGTGTCTCGCTGACACCCTACTTTGTGGTTTTTGCCATCTAAAGCTGAAGATACCCAACAGCCAGGACTGCGGTGACAAGCACAACAAACACCATGTGCAGCCCCATTTCCCACGGTGCCGGTGATCCTAACCACCACCTCCCCCACAGAATCAAACACCGTGGTGTCTCTGTGACTCCTGCACAGCACACCACAGGCCACAGGCTGAACACACATGCGCACAGTGAGGAGACATCGGGCAGTTACCTGCGAACAGGGCAACGTTGGCATGCTTCGCATCGTATGGACACCGGGCCATCCCACTAAATTCATCCCCGAATGGTTCCAAGGTATCCATCTGCGTGAGATAAGAGGACTTGTTGACCCACACTGAGAGAAGCTGCCACCCTTGACACGGCCAGAGTGTACTGGCTTTCAGGGAGGAAACTGACTCTCAAAGTCAAGGTCCCAGACCAAAGTTCTCCAGCAGGACAGCCTGAAATGTGGTCACCTGCATGGCTCATCTCCACCACAGTTGACTCTGGCAGAATGGTCTAGAACAAGTCTCCCCTGTGGTGGCAGCGCCCTAAGCACTCGGGCCATCCGGCACTGCTTGTGCAGTACATTAGGGAAGTTAGATGGAAAGTGGAGCAGTGGGTCTTGAACCAAGCTCATCTAGGGTGTGGGCATCACACAACTGGAAGTTGCCTGAATTATCCCCCAGTCACATGTGGGTTTATAGTCTTTCTCATGCATGCATCCTACTATGAAAACAGTATAAGGCAAGGCAGGGTGCAGAGGCAGAGATGGACAGTTGGTTACCGTTCTACTTCTGCCTCCTACCTGATGGGTGCATTGGGCTTTTTTAGTGAACGAGGATGGTTTAAGCTGTGAGCCTTGGCCCTGGTCTGTTGATAAAACATACTAGAAAAAGAGAGAGGGAGAGGCCACCACCCTGCTGTACCCAGGTATCTTAAGTCCTGCATCATTGGCAAAGCCATATGTTACGCTGCATCCCAGCCACTTCTCTGAGTAATGGACAGGGTCATCATCGGGTACACAGCATGGGGACAGGAGCTGAGTGTGAGTCACACTCCATGTGTGTCTTCTGAGGGGTCTGGGCCCCACTTTCTTGGCAGAAATGACAGTCACCAGGAGTGGTGGTGGCATTGCCTCTGTAGCATAGTGGCACATAGCAGCGTCCCAGAGTGAGTGTCTGCAGCGTGAGAAGCCCTCACCCTGCTCAGTCCTCAGTAGGGCCCCAGGGTGACAGGACACAGAGTGGAGGAATGATGTAAGGTACTGACTGGCCAGCCTCTATTATAAACACACAGACCCTGGGTTGGTGGAAAAAGCTGGTCTTTGGTTTATGATAAGCCTTCTCTGTTTTGTCCATAAAGATTAAGCATCTGACAGGAGACCCTTGTCTTCAGGGGACAAGGACAGCAGGTAGGCATGTGTGTACGTGTGGGGGTCACCCACCCCCTTGAGGAGCATCCCCCTGCTCCAGGCCAGCCTCATGTCTCATCACGCTTCTGCTGTAGCAGCCATGCAACTCCTGGCTTCCCAAGGGAGAGGGCCCTTGTGTGTCTGGCCACTGTGGACACTCAGTCCGAGTTTCCTAAGGTAGAGACTGGTCAGGGGGTAAGGGCCCAGAGTGCTGCTCGCAGGTGAGGGGCCAGGGTCACTGCCAGCCCTGGCTCCTGCACTGTGGGGCCCCTGCCTTCTTGCCACATCTCTGCTGACTGCAGCGGGACCAACTGGGCCGGCTAATTCCCTGAGAGCTTTTTTTTTCTTTCTCTTGCATCGAGGTCAACATAGGTGAGACCCCATTGAAGAAAGCCAAGTGTTCCATGCAATTACATCTCCTAGACCCATGCAGTGCTGCCTAGAGGAGGCTCTGGTTTCCAAGGGCAGGCATCAGAGAGACCGTGCAGAATAGGGCTTGCTCGCCACAGCAGTGTGTGTTCAGAGTGGAGACAGGGAGGGGAGGCAGTGAGGGAATGCACATGGCATTCCCACGTGGGCAGTCCGTCAGTCCGGGAACAATGAAGAGTAGGGTCTTAGAGAAGTGGATTGTGCTGGGTGGCTCTTCAGAGACTCGTCAATCAGCTCTGACCAAACAGGAAGCGAGCAGGGCGCCAGGGCTCGGCAGCAGGCTGGAGGAGGAGTGGGCTGAGTGGGAGGACTCCCAGCCGCAGGGCTCCCACAGCCAAGTGCAGCGCCTACCTTGTAGTTCCTGCAGGAAGGGTTGAAGGCGTTTGTCCCGCATACAAACAGCGTGTCATCATTCTTCCGCAGCAGGACTTTGATAAAGTTGTGACACTCGTCCTGGAAAATAATCCCAGCTGTTGTGCAGAGCCCATTGCCAGGGTGAAGCCCGTCCTCCTGTGTCAAGTGAGGTCTGCCCAGAGTAAGGGTCCAACACAGGGGACCCAGGGTTGGGGCACACAGGGCGGGGAATGAGGCAAAGGTCGGGAGTGCAGCAGAGGGCGACTTGACACCCTAAAGAGAAGGCAAGCTGGGGGCACTGGCTCCCATCTAGGGCTGCTGGGTGAAGCTGTTATAGGACCCCAGATACAAAACCCAGTGTGTGCGCACAGCCTTTTAGAAGCTTCTGGCAGATTCCCAGTGAATGTGGGCTATGAGCTGGCTGAGTGAGCCAAGTGCTGGGAAGACGGGGTGTCTGCCCAACTACCCCCAAGCCTGGGGCTTTTGAGCAGTGCACAAGGCAGGAAGTTGGTGGGAAAAGCGGTGGCTCAGGAGAGAAAAACTGGCACCATCCGATGCCATTGCAGTCCCCAGGCACCGCCCAGCACCTGCACCCAAGCGGCCGCTGAGGAATTAAGGCGGATTGCCAACCTTATGTTTCCCCTTCATTCTGCACGTGTCGACATCAGCCTGTCTAGATTTCCATGTCAATTTCTGCAGGGATCAAGAAAGAAATCAATTAGAGCTCAGGGGTCAGCAAATTTGGATTTAGAAATAAGAGTTCCCTGGGGGAGACTGGACATGTAAATCAGGAAGCTCTCTGTACCCGTTTCCATGATGAATTCACCAGAGCAGCACCAGATAAGCGATGGAAACGCTGCTGCAAATCTGAACCCCCAACTAGTTACTATACTGCAGAAAGGTCTTCTCTGTGACATCTAGGAAAAGGCCAGGAACCCCGCGGACATGTCACACAACACGGCCAGATGCTCTAGCGAGATCAGCCTTACTCCGATCCTGAACATGTCCCTGCCCTCGTCTTTCAGATGATAAATCAATTTTTGTTAAGAAGGGCTTTCCCCTTGAAATATGGAAGTCATTTTCTCCCACATAAAGGGCACATTCACTTTTGGAGAACAAAGATCCGATTCAGGTTAGACTTGTTCATGAAACTCCGTGGGCCGATCTTCCACTTCCATGGCACGGCTTTTATGAACCGAAATATCACCACGTGGAGTTACAAGGAAACCAAGCTTACGATTTCTATCTCAGAAGGATAATGATGAAATTCCTGAGACCACAACAGTCCAATCAAACTTAATATTACAGAGAACTTCAACACTGAGATATCTGTGGGCCAGAAATTTTAGTTATGAAAACTGATATTTCCCTAGACGAACAGGACAGTATCTTATTAGATGAATTTAGAAATGACCAAAAACCTCCAAACTCTATCTAGAGCTATTTCTGAATGCGTGCTAAACCCGAACCTACCCTCCAATTAGGATTTCACAAAACATGGGTTGCTATTTCCAAATGGTTAACAGCAATTTCATTCTCTTCTTTAAGATTATCCTAAAAAGCCTTCATTTTGGAAAGACACTTTTAAACTTTTTTTTTAAAAGGCCAAGTAATGGGGCAGGGAGCAGGGGAGACAGTGGCCTAAGTGCCTGGCCTAGGTAGGTTGCAACCAGGAGCCACAAGCTCTATCTGGTCTCCCCGATGGCGGCAGGGGCCCAAGCAGTCGGGCCGTGCCCTGCTGCCTCCTGGGCACACTGGCAGGCCTGGAGAGGAGGAGGTACTTGATACGGTGTTCCAAACAGCAGCTTCGTCCCTCAGCACAATGCATGCCCCAGAGAAAGAAAAGCCAGTTTTTAATGACTTACTTTGCTACAGTAAATTTCTTCTGTGTGTGACGTGTCTATATCAACAGTATAAATATGGTCCCTACAGACAAAGGAGAATGAACAAAGGGTCAGACACAAAGTCGGGAGATCCCTTTTCTGTCACCCAAGGCCACTAAGCCCATACCCACATGTGAAAAAAATACCACAACACCAACACACCAGAACAGGAGAGGAGCCCAGCCTGCGAGGGCCGCCTCTGCTCACAGCACTGGCTCGGTCAGCCTACCATCAACCTAGCGTCCAGCACCGATCTGCAGCTGGACACGTGCAGGTGGCACTGGGAATGAACACCTGCGGTCCACACGCCCTTTCGGGATCTTCGAGCCTACATCCCGATGCCCAACCCTGTCCCAAGCTGGCCTCCCTCCCCGACACTGTCTTAAGGAGACACATCAGTGTGGCTCACTGGGCGGAGGTCATGGAAGATGATGAAGGTAAAATTCATTCCGAGGCCGGAGAAGAGGCTGAGGGGTGCTGGAGTGGAGCTGGGTGTCTCCCACTGCAGCGCGCCTCCCTGCATCTCTGGGAACTTGGTCCTCTGCAACTGGCTGCCGAGCTCTCCGTGCAAGGGTAGAGAAGGCCTCAGCAGCTCAGGTGTGGGGCTATATTTAAACCTCCCCTTCTGTGTGAGCCGAGAACAAGAGCGCTTTTGTCTGGAATTCAGAAGCAAGCCAAGAAAAGAACTGCACTCGATGGAGGAGGTGGCGGCTGGCGAGGCAAAGCAAAACAGCTCATTTTCCCTTGAAATAACATTGACTTTTTCTAAAATTCAGGAAGTCCTGGGGCTGGAAAATTATCCACAGCTTTAAACCAAGACCTCCAGGCCCCCATGCAGGCATTCCAGGCCCCTCATGACTTGAAAGGAACGGGGGCTAGTGGGGAAGTTGGAGGAGGGCTGCAAAGAGAAGGGAAGAAAGGAAGGGATTGTTCCCTCGCTCCGCTGAGCTAGGTCCTCGTCTGAGTCTTCTCAGATTCCCTGGGGGAAGTCTGTTTGCTACTGCTTTTGGGGAGAGCCACTGGAGAAGCCTAGCGATTAAAAACAGGCTCTCCTTCTCTTGTCCATGAAAATGCGGGGAGAGGGCAGGATCCCTGTCCTCCGGACCCCTCACCTGCCTCCAGAGCTGTGAGAATGCACACGTGTGTGTGGGTGTGTGTGTGCACACGCAGGCATGGAATGGGTGGTGAGTGGGAGAATGAGGAGGCCTGTGTGGGTGGAATGCTGACTTGGGAAGTTTCTACAAACTTCCATAGAGTGCTGGGGCAGAGCTGCCCTTTAATTTCAAGGTGGTTTTGATTGCATGGTTTATTATGTGTGTGACTTTATGAGGCTGCTGTGGTCAGGAGCTTTATAGCAGTGGAATTGCCAGGGACTCTGAGATTGGGCCACTCTTGGCCCTGCCAGCCTAGCCTCAAACACTGAAGTGGGAGCTGAATATAGGAATTCTAAATTAACAGCTGATTAACATGCACTGGCAACTCCTCAGAAAACTCTGGATCCCTCCCCACCCCCCTTTTTTTGGCATGGCTTGTGTATGTTAATGAGTGGTTGAGAGATTACTAAAAAAAAGAGAGAGAGAGAGAATTCACCAAGGGGATAATAATAAAGTAGAATTGAGAGATTCCTGCCCCCAGCCTCACTCAGTTCCCCCAGCTTGTGCATGGCACTTGGCTAGCAATTGTTGACATCAATTGTCCGGGAAGAACTAGGAAGTATTCTAAAAACAGAATAGTATGAATTGAAATCTCTTTTTGGGGCAGTGGCAATCTTTTTCAACATCTAAGAGTTCCCATGGCCCCAGCAAGCACAGACAGCACTTTCTGTGGAACCACAGACCAGGTTCGGGATCACCCCCGGTGGCCCAAGTGTCCATTCAGGATCTGCAGCTGCCCTTCCTGAATCAATTCCCAGAACATAAAACCAGGATTGGATCCCGGGATTCCACTGCACTGTGCTGACATGGCTTGGCGCTCACAGAAACCTTGTCTCTTGCAGCCAGGATCCCCCAGAGCAGTGGGGTGATGTGACATGCAGAGAGGAAGGAAGCATAAAAATGGGGAGCACAGATGGCTGTCGGGTGCGCATGGAGAACCAGTTGGTCAACTAGGCCTTTTGTGGAAATGCATTCCATTCTATTGCTTCTTGTTTTATTTCCTGATAGTAGGGAGCTAAGATGACACCGGCTTGGTCCCACATGAGTTGGCTCCTGGTCACATTTCCATCTTCACAGTACCTGGCTGCAGTGGCTCTCCAGCAGCCACAATAGGGGCTAGTGAGAGAGGAGCCAATGCTGTCCAAGGAGGTGGCCACTGGGATGTCCCCCTTCGGGGACTGTGCCAGGACAGTGGCTGTATGGCCCCATTGAGCCCAGTCACCTCCCCCTTCTCCCTCCCTTGGGTTCCTCAACTAATACCTGGGGGTGATAAGAGCTCATTCCCCAAGGGTTATTTCTAGGATTGAATGAGTTGGAATGGTAAAACTGACAGCTCTGTCTGCAACTTGCACAGTAGTCGGCACATGCAACTAGTACAAGTATTTACAAAGCTAAAATTTGGAAAAAGCGTGTTTTGGCCTGGCTCGCCATGACTGAGTGTGGGGAGCTCTGGGGCCTCCTTCAGCAGCCAGTGGCCTCCCACCTAACCAAGCAGAAAAATCCCCCACGCTAAAGACAGTCGAGTACTCTGTTTCACCTGCTCTATCTGTGGGCATGGCCAGACACGCACGTCAGTGCAGACCCAGGAGGGACCACAGTGGAACGCCACACATGTCCCCAACCCTGCTCACTTGGACTCTTCCCAACGTGGTGCTTCTGCTGCAAAGTGGGGCAGTGTAACGAAGGGCGGCTTTCTAAAAGTTACCTCTTGTTTGGCACAGGACACCAAGGTCACCAAGAAGTTGCAGTCCAGCTAAATGAAGGTCAGAATTAGAAGCAAAGCTAAAAAAAAATTCATATATATATATATATAAAGTAAAGATTTGCCCTATTGGACTTTGTTGGGAGTGACACGGCCTTCTTTCAAACAGTCTATGTTTAATATACACACCTACATACGTCTGTCATTCATGTTTTCATGTTCAACTTAATTTAACAAGTGAGTGTCAAAGAGTGAATCACCCTATTGGGTAACTGAATAAATATTTGCCCGTATGTTCATAATTAACAGTGGAATTATTGCCTCTAAGCTCTGAAAATGTGGTCATTATTTTTTTTTTTTCTAAATTCATACAAAGTTAAACAGACCGAGACAATCTTGAAAGCTGTGGCTTGACAAGGTACAAGTGACCTCCGATCAGGTGTTTGGGGACCTCAGGGTCTGGGAGAGGAAGCGGAGCTGGCCCCACGTGGGCCTCTGGGGCCTGGCCGTGGCTTACCTAGCGGCAATGTAGAGGGTTCTGTTCAAGACCATGACCATCTGGATGTCCAGTCTGTGCCTCTGTGTGCTGTTCCGTCCTGGCTTGTGGCCCACAAACACCGGGTACTGTTTTGTATCTGTGCAAGGAGAAGCTGGTCAGACAAAGCAGGGGCAGGGCCCGCCACACAAAGCCACATTGCACATGCCCCTGGCCGCCTCCTCGTTCTCCCAACGAGCCATTGGGTACTGGTGCACTGCCCACTACTGAGCGGCCTGGACAGCCTCCTGGCTCGCATCCCTTGCTGGGGCCTGCCTTGCCAGCACCAAGGTGCTCTTTTTCTTGCCCAGCTTTCTTTTCATCTCCTTTCCAGTGCTAAGCCTTGGGGTGGGGGGGAGGGCAGCCTGCCAAAGACCTTGTCTCGGGACCAAACTATTTCAAAGCAGCCTTCCCATCAATCAGTACAAAGGCAAGGAGGTCTGGAGGCGAGAGTTGGCGTCCATGAGCCAGGAGAAAAACGCCGTCTCCACGGACATCCTGCGGGAATGATCCGCTATTGAAGGCCGCTGGGCCAGGCTGGCTGGCATTCGAGGAACTGTGGGAAGCTTACTCCGGAGGGAAGCCATTGGCCCAGCTCATAGAAACACGGGCTTTGACAGGACAGGGTCAAACTGAGTGTAGCCAGTCAGGCAATCTGGAATGTTCCCTGGCTTGGAGAGCCGGTGTAGGGGTTGCAGGGCAGCGAATTTCTCCTTTGCTCCAACTCTTTGACTAAGAGTGGACCATGTGGAGTAACCTATGACCTTCAGAACATGCCAACGCATCTCTGCCCTTAACCTACGCTCTGCGGAGCCCTGGCCATGCTCTGACACACAGAGGGGACTTGGATTTAGAAAGCAGAGTTGCACCAGGAGGGGTGAGGGCTGTGACCGGGGCCTGGGAAGCCACTCAGGAACTCACACATGGGTGCTATGCTTTAAATCCCTGCTGTGTCCGTGCCCCGCCCACAGTGGCATCTGTCATCATTCAGAAAACGAATGTGGGTCAGGAGTCATGTGCTTCAGCTCCATGATGGTCTGGGCTGCGCCCCTTGGCCTCTGTTTTCGCCTCCCCCTGCCCTCCAGTGTCCAGCTGAGGGACCTGCTGAGGGTCCTGGGGGAATGTCACAGAGCCCACGTGGTCCCTTGGTGTCCGAGTTTTGGGTCATTGTGCTGGACAGTTTGGGGGAAGCCACTCTCTCCCTTTTCTTTTAGATAACTGTAATCAGGGGAGAGGCGTACGGTGAGTTGGATGTTCCATTCACCACACCAGCAGGACTTCCCTCCCTAAGCTCCCAACCCCTAGTCCGTTGGTCTCTGTCATCGCCGGTGGCAACACAAAGGCCAAAGAACTAACACAGGTCCCCTGCAAACTCTAGCTCACTCTGTCTCCACATGCAGCAAGGACACCACTAACTCTGAAGGAAGGTCAATTCTCTGAGGCCCCTAGAGTTGTCTCACCATGCTCCGCTTCTCCTAGCTTGCAAACCCCTCAGGTATTGAGTACATCAGAAGTCATGGGAGACTGGCCATTGCCAAACGGGGACAGTGTTCTCCCACCAGGTGGCTGTGGCACTGAGCATGGCAAGGTCCTGACTGGGGCTTGGGGTCACTGAGGACTCTCTGATTCCTACATCTGTGTCCTCCAAATAGCATCTGATGGTGGGTTCTGCACCTGCAATCTCCACTTGGGTTACACCGACCCAGGATCAAACTACCAGGAATGTCTGTTTTTCTGTTTCGTCTCTGCTACGCCCATACAGGCTGGAATGTCCACAGGGTGGAGGGGCGGGGGCAGGGTACTCACAGTTGCCATGCGAAATACTGATTGGCTCAGAGTCTTCTGGGAAGCCGGCGCCCGCCAAGTGCAGCAGTGTGAAAGAGAGCAGCAGGGCTTCTAACCTCATAGTAGCTCCACGGGCAGAGTGGACTTCTCTACTTCACCCTGCCAGAGAGCAAAGGTGGCACTGGTTGCTCTGCACGCCAGCTTCACCCACCCCCAGACGTCAGGGCCTCTGCCTTGTCCATCCAAGGAGCCCTCTCCGTGACCCGCCACACCCTCCCTCATTGTCCAAGCTCCACCCCCTCCAGAGCCTCTGTCCCGTTGTCCTGAGCCCACTTGAGGCCGCGTGCAGGCAGGTGCTGTGTTTTGTTTCCCAAATTCCTGCGTGGGAAACTGAATCTCCCAACAGTGCTGAGAGGTGGGGCCTAAGAGAGGTTCCGCCCACATGAATAAAGGCTTGGCAGGTGCAGGAGTGCCCAGTGCAAGCTGGGCCTGCCCCTTGCGAGCCTCCGTCACCTCCATCCTAATCTGATGCATCACCCAAGCCCGTTCATTGCCCCTGACCAGGGCTGTGGAAAAGGTCTCCTTTCCTTTATAGAGTGACTGGGGGTGGTGCCCGTTACAATAGTAGACAGACTTGGAAGCTGTGTGGGGAGCAAAGCAGTGGTCATTTTCGGATGAAGCTACATTCTGTTTGTCAGCAGCTTTATGGAGTTCAAACCCGCCCCTCGCTGCTCCAAGTTCCTTCAGAAAGCTGAAGTTGTTGCCTACATTGCAACAAACATTTCTGGATTCCCAACTTCTTAACAGGAACCACAGTACTTGTCCTGGTAACTCAGATCTCACACTCACACACATGAACCTGTACACACACACACACACGTACACACACACACACACACACGTGTGTGTGCCACGGGCCCTGCTTGTTCATCTCCACCACTACCACCTTGTCCTGTTCACCGAGGTGTCTCACCCCCTGGTTTCTGGGAGTGAAATCACACCATCTGTATTCCAGAAGAAATAGAGGGATCTTTCTAGATCTTGCTGCTTTAGAAAAGCTCCTCTCTCTCCCCATTTCAGCCCACTACCTTGCCATGAGACATTAGTGAGTAAAATGGCCAATTCACACTTCTGCTCATCTGTAGGTCTTTACAGATGCTCTGTGCAGCAAAGTCCCTATCCACATTGGAAACAAAACCATCCCATGTGCAGCTGCCAGATATGAGAAACGACTCTTCACAGTCAACGACACAGAACTGCTGGGTGTCTTCCACGTGCACGGTGCTCTGCAAAATTAACGCAAAGAGCGCTATCTTTTCATCTTTCCAGGAGTCGCCTTTGAAGCAGACTGCCAAAGATTATCTTTTCCCAGCAAAGCTGGTTTACGGCAGTCCATCAATCATTGAAGATTTGTGTGTAGAAATGTCAGACCTTGTGATCCAGCTGCCTTTGAAAGTTAATTTGGCAAACCAACTGCTAACTGACGCCTTTTGGAACACCGTCTCTTATCAGATACCTCCGTCTCTTCTGCCTGCCAAGAAAAGCACTAATAAGTCCCGCATGCCACATTGCAACTTCTAATTTCACAGCCACAGCTGGTTCTTCATCATTTCTTCCATTGAAAAGTGCACATTAATTAATTTGCATTATTTTGAAAATCAAAGAGGGAGAAGGGTTGAGAGTAAAGCCTGAACAATTCCATCTCTCCATCTCTGATGGCAAGATTCACATTACACTGGAAGTGATGACTCGGTTACAAGGCAGCCCATTGCCACAGACAGTAACACAAACTCGCAGATGGCACAGAGCTGCCACCTCTTCCTTTATCGGGGGCCAGCTGTCCCTGAGCTGGAGTCTGAACCCCAAGGAACTGTGCCCTGGGATGCTCCCATGTGCTGTGCATGTTCTAGCTCCAGCTCACTAGCTGCAGAAAAGACACACCCCATGCCATGGGCCTAAATAAGCAGGTGAGGATGCAGCAATGTGGACCCAGAGCTGCAGGGCAGGGGACCATGGCACCCAGGGACCCAGAGGGACAGCCTGGCATGGAACAGAACCCAAACTCAAAAGCATGATTCTCATTCTTCCTAAGATTTATTTATTCTTATTGCAAGACAAATTTACAGAGAGAAGAGGGAAGAGAGAAACATTTTCTGTCTGCTGGTTCACGCCCTAAGTGGATACAAGGGCTGTAGCTGAGCCGACCTGAAGCCAGGAGTCAGGAGCCAGGAGCTTCTTATGAGTCTCCCATGGGGATGTAGGGTCCCAAGGCTTTGGGCCGTCCTCTACTGCTTTCCCAGGTCACAAGCAGGGAGCTGGATAGAAGTGGAGCAGCTGGGACATGAACTGGCATCCATAAGGGATCTTGGTGTGTGCTAGGCGAGGACGTAACCACCGAGTCATTGTCCCGGGCCCCATTGTCATTGTTTGTGAAATCTTTGGAAATGTACATGCGTGTATAGCTGCATGTCCTTCCACAGACGCATGCATCTTCATCTGAACATCCTGCAAGACACAGATCTGCTGTTCTGCAAGTCCTGGTTCAAATTCTTGCCACCTCACCTGAAAGAGCTCTGGTGGGGAGAGCTGTGCATGCAGAAGCAACCTGTTCCACAAAATAGTGCCTCTCTGCCTGGGGTTCCTGGCCGAGGTGTGTCACTTCAGTATCTCCTGGTTTACAGGAAGGTTCTCTGCTGGTTATCTGGTCATGTGCCTTTCTGTCATCTCATCAGGTGTTAAGCAGGGCATCACAGTGGGGGAGTGTCTGGGCAGGACACACGGACGCTCGGTAAGTCAGCTGCAGTTTGGAGGTGTCATTCTGTCCCTGTCAGCACGGAGACAGCATACTTGCTTGTTGAGCTCATGACTGTGTGCAGGCATCCCAGGTCACTGATGCTGCCAGGCCCATCCAGCGGAACATGGACCGTGTCTGCCACCCAGGACCACAGCAGCACACACTGGCAGCCCAACCCAGCAAACACAAGGGAGAACTTTCCGCTGGGTTTTGAACATCTTGTGTTAGCTGGGCTGCTGTGATTTTTGAGCTTGTTTAAGTAGTTTTCAAGACTTTGGGAAGCACTGCCCACATAGAGTTATTTATAGGTACCTGCCAGCACTTGTAGATTTGCCTGTCTGTGGTTGCATGCACAGACTAAGTCTGACTTAGAGGTAAGCAGCTATTCATAAAACAAGGTAAGGCAAGACAATACGAGGGATGCTCGGCAGAACTGTACTGCAGAAGGTTGTGAAATTTCCATCTGATTGCCTTAGCCTTCCCCAGTTCTTAGGCAAATACACCATTGTGGGGCTGGTGTCATGCCATTGTAGGCTAAGCTTTTGACTGTAGCACTGGCATCCATATGGGCACTGGTTCCTGTCCCAGGTGCTCCATCTACAATCCAGCTCCCTGCTTACGGCTGGGAAAGCAGCAGAGGATGGCTCAGGTTCTTGGACCCCTGCACCCATGAGGGAGATCCAGAAGAAACTCCTGGCTCCTGGCTTTGGACTGACTCAGTTCCAGGCACTGCAGCCATTTAAGGAATGAACCAGCAGGTGGAAGATATCTCTCCCTTTCTGTCTTTCCTTTTTCTCCCTGTAACTCTGCCTTTCAAATAAAAATAAACAAATCTATTAAAAAAATACACAATTGCTGTAAAAGTCCTACTCTGGTGCATAAAATTCATGGAAAATCATGAGAACATTCTGAATTTTAACAGGCAGCTGTTTGGTGAATGTAATGCTTCTATTTAGGGTCATCTAAAATTAATTTGTGTTTGACTGTCTATGCACTCTGAGCCCAGACAAAAATCCTTCTTACTGTAATTTTTCCCGACAGCTTTTAAGACTAAATTGAATAACAGAGCTGCAATGCACAAATGGTGCTGTGATTCTTGGCTGTCATGAATGAATAGAACCATGCAGAATGCAAATTGGCCAGCAAAGCACCCACGAGGTAGTCCAGGCCTTGGGCCCAACAAAGGCACGCCAAGGTGACCTGCCTGCAGGTGCTGTGATGGCGTTCACACTGGCGGTGGTTTTTTAAAAATAATGGGATCCTCTGTGAGACAGATTCGGGTCACACAGCAGATCCTCATGCCAGCGAAGCAGGTGGCATAGCGGAAGGACGCCAGCAATGGCCACATCGCACTTCTAGTCCATGCGGTTGATTTCGGAAGGGCTCAGAGCAGCAGGAAACCACATTAGTGTCCCCAGTCCTAGAAACCCTCAGGTGTTGCCCTGACATGAACCCCGATTCTCTGCCCAATTCCTCCCCAAGTCCTGCTACGTGAAATTCTACTGAAGATCACACACAAGTGGTACTTGGCCAAAGCTAGCTTCCTGAGAAGAAACATGGAATTTGCAACATTCAGGGGTAGAAGGCAAGATTTAACACAATCTCCACATTGCTGGCTTCTTAAAATAAAAAAGGGACAAATGTGTACATAGCTTTGCTGTCCATGGTCTCACGTGGCCACACTAGAGCTGAGCAGGGCTGACAAAACAGGACACTGGCTGTCTTTGGTTAGAAACACTTTGCAGGCCAGGGTCATCAATCAACAGTTCACGCTGTCCTGCTAAAGGGAGGGCATGGTAACCTGTGACCCCGGGAAACTCCCAGGATGCTCAGCTGTGCCATGATCTGGAGGTGGGCACGGGGTAGCCACTGGGGCATCTCTTAGGTTCCCCTGCACCCTGAATGGCAGCAGGAAAGCAGTCAGGCTGGGCAGCTGGGTCAGATGCTCTGGGTCAAAACAGAAGTGGGACAGGTGACGTTCTATGCCCAGGGCATGCAGCCCGCCTTGACTCTCTCTTCTTGACTGGCAGAGCGTGGAGCCAGACACCCCAGGGGCCTTCAGTGTGTCTGTGCCAATGGCAGTGTGCGGTGACACAAACCCTTATCTGGATAGCTCGCAGCCTGCTGCAGTCGTTATGGAGTGCACAGTTGGCAGAGCGCAAGCAGACATGCCAGCAGGGTGGACAGCCTGGGCCCCACTGTGGCCCCCAGTTCTAACCTGGACAAAGAGGTAGTTAGTGTTACTGGTTTATCACATGCAGAACCTGGCTTACATTCCTATCTTTATCCCTCCAGCTCACTGTCTTGAAAAATCTAAATTGGCGTCA